AAAATATATTGGGTGTTATAGATGAAATGCAATAAAAATTGATGTACATAGAATTATTGGATGAGAAAATTTATTAATGAGAAAATCAGGACAGTTATCGTAAAATAGTAGCAAGAAAGATAAATTTAAATATATTTTTGTAGGAAATATAATTTTTTCTGAAAATTGTAACATAATTATCTGGTTCCTTGCCAGTGGAAATAAGTTAAAAAATAGGCATGAGTGGTCCAAATGTATTTCGTTATTATTGTGCCAAAATTATTTGTTATTAAATATAATAGGTCATCAATAGCTCATCTAATCACTGGCTCTATGATGTCTTCCATTTCACAAAATGTTTTTACTGCTGGTAAAAATATTTTTGATGTCTTCATTCGAAATAATATGTTTCTTATTTGATAGAGACTGACACAAGTAATAATCCAAAGATACTAAATTTGCAGAATATGTTGGATGTAGTATTACATCTTATAGATATGACCAAACTTTCATGCGATCTTGCATGTTATCGATAGTACGCGATACATTTCTGTTGATAAATTTTGATTTTTGTTTATTTCAGTTGATGATACTACATTTTAGATTAACTGGTGATATTGTCCGATAAAAAAAATAAACAAAGTGCGCTTCGGAAGCACTTTTTCGCTTTTAAAGTGCTTGGAGTCGTATGATTTTTTTGACTTCATAATTTCTTGATTTCAACATTGTTGTAGATAATCCATTTCTCATAATCATTTTGAGGCAATGGAACGAATCATCAATTCCGTGAAGAGATATCTCAAAAAGAGTTAAACCGAGAGATATCTCGGTTTTACGTTTGTGAAGCCCAGATGTCAATATGACAGAGCAAATGTTTTTTTGCGAAAACATATGGAATACTTCCGTGAGCAACCCATGCTTTATCAGCTGATCATGAATAATTGTTTTCGATTAATTTAAGTTCAATCATTGCCTTTATCAGGATCAAGTGAATTTGATAAGTTTAATTTCTTAGAAAATTTAGGAATTGTAATTCAGTAGTTTGAACGCCTTTATCAATACCCACAGACTTTCCAGAATAAAGTAGATCTCCAACATTAGCGGAAAGAATTAAATTAATCTTAAGATGTACGTAATAATAAAATATGGAAAAATTATTCCGATTATTGTTAAAAATTATGAAAAATTGGTGACATATAAACAAATCTTATTTGTAGTTATACCTCAATACATTTGCAGCACCCAGTATTTTGTAGATTAAAATCTATTAAATCATTGATACCCGCAAACAGAATTGCATGATTCACTCAGCTTGAAAGCTTCGTTGCTCGACATGCGAGCATGTCCATAAAATTTTGGCAACTAGACCAATGCGTTTGTTATTAACCACAAATTCGAATTAATCTAATAAGAATGATAACAAAAGTAAACAATAACTGAATATAGAACTATAAATTCTATATAGAATTGAATTTTATTTTTAATTTTTTGTATTTTTGACATTTTATACATAAAACATTT